GGGGGGGGGGGGGGGGGGGGGGGCGGCGCAAGGTGGAAGTTTCGCCTAGGGTGCAAAACTTCCTTGCACCGGCCCTGCCTAGAGGTAATATGACCTCCCTGCTACTACACAATATTCCCATGTATACGTCTCGTTCAACCTCTTAGCTACAGCATCATACTGTAAGCTCCTGTTCAGTTGGTTGTCTACCCTGACTCATGAGTTCTCTGTGTTGTCACTGCATTCCAGGAGACAGTCCCCCATCCTATAAGTATGACCTCCATTGTTTGTTCTTAGATGTCTGACCTTAGATTTGAATGATTAAAAACACATGTTCAAATAAGCCCTCCTTACCAAGTGATCCAGGTCAGCCCGTAAAACTAACCTCTCTCCATCGTTATTTACCACTTCAAAAAATTTTGTTTCATCTGCAAATTTTACCAGCAATGATTTTATATTTTTTTCCAGTTGCTGTTTGCTTTTTGTGATCTATCAATTAACAATTTTTTATTCACTTGATATGTGCTATCTTGATTTTGTATAGTGCTTTTTTTTTATATCGGAATGCCATGCAGGACTAAGTTAAATACCTTACAGAAGTCTAAGTATTATGTCAGCACAGTTACTTTTATCAATCAAACTTGTAATCTCATCCAAAGATTATATCCATTTTGTTTGATAAGACCTATTTTCCATAAAACCATGTTGATTGCCATTTATTATGCCTCCATCCTTTAATTCTTTATTGATTGTACCCCATAATCAGTCTTTCCGATGATCCCAGGATCGATGTCAGGCTTACCAGCCAATAGTTACCCAGGTCATCCTGTGACCTGTTTACCCTTTTAAAATATTAGGGCAAAATTAGGTCCCCCCCCTCCAGTTCACTGGAACTTCCTCAGTGTTCCAAGAATGGTTAAAAATCAACATTAGTTGGTCAGAGACCTTGTTGGTCAATTCTTTTAATATTTTTGTACAAATTATTCAGTACTGCTGATTTAAAATATTTATCTTTAGTAGCTGCTGTTTTAATACCCTCCCTAGTTATTGCTAGAACAGAGATCATCACTGTAAGCTATTAATGCAGCATCCTGCTTTTTCCCAAATATAGAACAAATATTTATTGAACATTTCTGCCTTTTCTACATCATGATTAACAATTTTACCATCCTTATCTAGTATCAGATCTATACCAATGCAAGGGCTTATTAGTTTCAGATATATTTAAAAATTCTTTCTTATTGTCTTTAACCTTATTGGCAACAGATTTTTAATTGGCAACTTAAGCTTCCCTTATCAATTGCATTTCCTAACTGCTGATTTGTACTCA